TGATGCAACCCAAAGAGTATCATCTATAAAAGCAAGAACAGAGCAGTTGGTTTTGAGATGACTAAATGTTTTGTCTTGCTAAAACAAAACTTCATGGTGATGCAATTAAAAATTTCATTGAGGATTTTTATCGAATGAGAAATAGTAATAATGTTAAGCAATTCGAATTAATATACTATTATATACTCACAAAGTATAAACCTTGTCATTCTTACCTCGAAACAAAACTTTACTCTTATCATGAATCATAGGCTAGATATGCAATTCTGAAGATATTTATGATCAGTGTGAATCTACACAATAAGTAGAATCTATAAATGCTGTTCTAAAAAAACATCTTGATCGAGGTACATTATTGAAGGAATTAGTAAAAACAATTAAACAAGAGTTGGAAAAAGAAGTCTATTATATTTGCATCAGTGACTATTATGGATCTAATCCATCATCTGGCCTTCTATCAACTTATAGCACTATTTTCAAAGATATTGATTCAGTGTTAGTAGACCACTTGGCACCTACTTTACTATCACTTCAGTAAGCCCAAATGAATCAAGCATTGTTGTATCAGAGAATGTTGGTTAAAAATGAACAAGTGAGCATTTAATTAAAATTTTTATTGTTTATATTTTAGCTTTTAAGAAATAAATAAACAAAAAGCCAAAAATAAAAAAATTTTTTACTAAATAAATGTTAAATTATAAATAAGATTAAGGAATATGATATTAAAGTTAATCAATTATTCTAAAACGCACCTATGGTAGTTTTCACCTATTATATGTTTTTATTATGTTTTTAAAATTTTCTAAGTTTTTATTAGTTTGTATATAAAATTTTTAACATCAATTTTTTCACATTAAAGTTAATATTAAGGTTAGGATTAGGGTTTGGGAAGAGTTTTTTGGGGCATAGAACATTTTTACTTAGAACATCTCACAATGATTAATTAGCCAGTTTTTGAGATAATACAACATAGGTGGTAAAACACCATAGGTGTGTTTTAGTAAAATTCAAAGTTAATATTATGATTAAACAGTTGTATGATATGCTCCAAATTTGATGACAAGAGCTCTTATCAAGTGTATCAAGTAATGAGGTACAAGAAATCTGAGAGGTTTTTCACATTACGATGAATTTATTAAATTTCCATTATGTTGAAATTTTCAAAGATTTAACTTTGCTTTGCACTTGCATGCAAATAATAAACTTGAAAATGCTATATCATCATCAATACTGAATTTTTATTCAATTCTCTAAAGCAGTTTTTCATATAGAGCTTATACATATGCGATAGTTTAAATCAATCTCTTTAAAAATAAACAGACATATTGTTATAACTCAAGAAATCAAAGTTTTACATCTGCACTATTGCATCATATTGATCAGATTCGTTCTGCAAACATATATACATCAAACATAAAAGAAAATGTTGACAAAAAGCTCCAATTTGGTACTACAATGTCAATAGCCAAAACTAGTGTCCAAGTTGCACTATCGGAAGGTGTTATAACAGAATTAATTAGAATTTTAACAATTTATAACAAAATACCATAACAATACTGGTTTGGGTATTCAAAAAACTCATAATATACGATATGAAAATGCTAATATTCCTATTGTTGAAACCAAATTCAATTGTCAGCAACCCTTGGCTGAACTAAATTCTAATTGCTATCTTGATTAAGTTTTTAATCCAGAGTATCACAGACCAAAAGGCCATCCTCCAAAAAGATTAAAATCGTTTATTGAAGAAAATAAAGAAAGTATTAAACAACATACTATTCGTGAACAAAGAACTTGCAGTTACTGTTTGGTTAAAGGTCACAACATTTGTGGATGCACTCAATATAAGGCAAATTCAGTTAAGAATAAACAAGGATAAACTTACAGTATTGATTCTTGTTATGTATATTTGTATATTTTAAACAAATGTTTTATTTTTTAATTTAAATTCTTATTAGAATTTATTTAGTCTTATATAATGCTTAATATAATTGCAAAAAAATAATGCTTATTTATTTGTTTTAAATTAAAATTGATATTATTAAAATTGTTATTCCAAAGTTTTTTGTTTTTGATTTGAATGAGCCTGACCAGAAGTTTAGAGTTAGTTTAGGCCAGAATTATATTGAATCTGGCTAGGTGTTTTTTTAGAAAATGCATCGCCTAGTTGTGAATAAAGCGAGCAATGTAGGCAACTATGTTTTATTATAATATTAGTTGCACTGTAAATTGTTGAAATTTCTAAAATTTTTAGTTAAAATTTATCTAATCGATGGCAGGCCAGAATTAACAATATTAATATTAAAATTTCACTAATGAAGTTGTAGCACAGTTAACTCTTTATAAGTGCATTTTATATGAACTTTTCTCTTTATTTTCTTTAAATGCAATGCAATTTATACAAGTGCATATTTTATAATTGCACTTTTTCGATATATGCTTATTTGAATTTAGTAAAATATATGTATATATATAATCTTAGAAATAACTTTAACGCTACTAAAATGCACTTATGGTGTTAAACACCATAATTAGCTATATCTCAAAAACATACTAGCTAACACCTCTCAGGGATACTAAGTAAAAATGTTCAGAACCTCCAAAAACCTTATGCTAACTAAAATTTGGATCTTTATATATAATCTTATCTTACTCTAAAGTTGCACCTAACTCTAAATTTTAGCTAAAAACTTATTAACACCATAAGCACCATAGGCACATTTTATATTATTTGAATAACTTAATGTTATATAATATATATAGTAATTTCTATATCGATTATTAGCTATTATATGATTATAGTGATCATTACCAGTGGTGAATATAAATTTTATATATATATTTTTAAATTTAGCATGATTTGCTATTGTTTATTAAGATATAAACTATTTTAAAAATTATAAAAATTTATTTTTTTTATTTTTTTTATTTTTTTTATAGTCAAGATCAGCCTCTTTGGCTTTTCACTTTTATTAAATTTGTAAAATCATGTAATGCTCTTATCAAGGGGCCTCAGACAAGTACATTCTGACGAGAATACATTTTAGCCATACCTGTGCCTTTTGAGCACCTAATTTAAGTAGGCTGCCTATTACTAGGTTCTATACTAGATGCCATATCTGTAACCCACTATTATTTAGATTACTTAATTAAACCCTCTAATCTGAGTTTCCTATGCCAATCCGTCTAATCTCATCCGGAACATACGATATATAAGTCAGTCCAAGTTCTACAATCATTGCGAATTATCTATAGGACTACTGGCATAGTTAACTAATTCATCCTTGAGTGTATTACCTGCTAGAGCAGTCCGGTATCCACTTATTATTGTATTACCTAGTCTTTTTCAGATAAGTCTTGCCATATAGGTTCTATACCTTTATGAGCAGGCCACACTGCCAATTCTTTCCACAGATAAGTTCACCGATAGGCTCTAAACCTTTATAGACAAACCACATTGCTAAACCCTCTAGCCTTGCAAGGTTTGTTCTAATTCCGATACCCACATCAAACCAGTCTTTATACCAATCTCTCCCCAACTACCAAACTAATTAGCCCGGATGGGTCATTATAACTAGGCTTTAAGTACCTTCTGGTTTTATTTCCCTTGGTTCCTAATTCTGTAGCATAGGACCTTTTCTTCCAGTGTGACTCCAGCGGCCAGGTTGGTGAACTCTTCTTGTTCCAGGGTTTTCTATCTGGTTCTTTGGTCTTTGGTTTCCGACTTTCCGCAGTATCATCAAAGATCGTTACTACATCCTTACTCGGGTCTTGCCAAACGAGTTTCAATTATTCTGGTTTCTTGGATTTTGGATCACTCAAGAGCTTTTATTTTAAGATGGTAGTACTAAGCTTACAGGTGATATACCCAACTGATCGTTAAATAATTATTACTGGAACACAGGCCTATTTTTCTAAAAATGTCTCTGGTGGGATTCGAACTCTAGATCTGCTGCTTGGGGGGTGACAACTTAACCACTACTCTAAGTTGCCACACCCTATAAAAATTTTTATCTATAATTATTATTTATCTAATTTAACAAATAATTTACTCTTCCAACGCTGCTCCATCAGCACACATTATACTTAGTTAACTGATCAGTTAGCTAAAAAAAAAATTCAATCCTTACCTCTGGGCATATAACGTACGTATTCGGGTTTCT